TGTTGGTTCCTGGTCGGAGGTGGTGGTGGACGGTGGCCAATAGAAACATTGGTTTTAGTGGTGGTGGATGGTGGTTAATGGTGGTGGTGGCTGATGGCGGTCGAGGTGGTGGCCAGCAGTGGTGGTTAGCAGAGGTGGCGGTGACCGATGGTGGTGGTGCCTGACGGTGGTTGTGGCTAATGGTGGTAGTGGCTGGTAGAGGTTGCAATGGTGGTTGAGGGTGGGCATCGTCCGATGGTGGGTGGCGGTCAAGCGTGATTGCTTGGCGTGTAAACAGTTCTTGTTCAAAATTGGGCAAGTTTGATTTACTTCAAAAATGAGTTAAAATGATTTTCACTACATTTAGTTTACTTTGCTCAATTTTATATTTCAATTAAACACCAACATTTTTAGAACTACTACCTTTTAAATACTTTATAGAAAAATAGCCCTCTAAAAGAAAAAAAAATTTCAAAATAACATAAATTGACCTTTGGGCTGATAAATATACTTTGTGTTAATGTGTGTGCGCCAGTGCTTGAGCAGAAGAGGCGAGGTGAGGCGACAACTTCTGCTTCTCTTCTCCTCAATCAATGCAGTGGGAAGAGTCTCGCAGATCGACCTCTTCAGTTCGAGGCCAGGTAGAGTTTCAAACTTCCAGTTTCTCTCCACTTTTAGCTGCTACTTTCCTCATTCTTGTCGATTTTTACTTGGCGCGTGCTTTCTATGCTGCTTCTTCAACACATCGTCTTGATATGAAATTCTTGACGACGTTTTGGCTTAAGTCACAGTTTCCGTCGACTGTAGATAATGGTTTTCTTTTGTTCTGCTTGCTTCGTGTTGATCCATTTCTAGGGATGGGAATGTAGAGAGAATTTTGGCAGGGAAATAGCGGTAGGTTTTTGCTTTGTGTGGATGATCTCTTAAACCCCGTATTCCAATGGCAGAAACTTTGCAAAGAATAGGCACGATGCCATATGATGAGATGAGAGCAACTTACGCCGTAAGCTTAACCTCAGATCACTTTGTGGCAGTTGTTTTTCATACAACAGTAATCTTACTTGACTACACCCTTTTTTGTGTTGTTGTTGTTGTTGTTGTTTTTATTTTTTATTTTTTTTTTATTTTTTATTTTTATTTTCTCTGGTGAGAAACAACTTACATAACTTGTTGTTTCCCAACCTTTTTTTAAATGAAAAAAAAAAGTTTATCAGATTCACAATAATTTTCAAAAAATTACTTTCTCCACATTTGGATCCTTCATCATCAGTTAATTATCAACTGATCACCATTATCTATTTACATTTCTAACGTTGGGTAACACGTCAAACAATCTAGTTTATTTAATTGGTTTAAAAATTCTGTCGGACTTTGCGGTAAGCCGGTAACACATAAGAAACATGTGAATCACATAATTCAAAAACATCATTGTGAGCGCAACAAGCATTTTGGTCGTTGGAATATGACCTCAGTGAACCTCCATCTCTTCTATAACTGTGTATATTGGATGGAGTGTTAGTTATATGTAGAATTTGATTGTGTTGATCAACTGGATTGTACTATTGTCTCATACCTCAATTTCATCTATCGAGCTCATTGGAGGGTTGCAAGGGGTTCTCACCGATTTTTTTCCCCGTACAACAATGTGGCGTTTTGTACCTGAGCACTGCGGCATTGTATAATTTTCTTGGAAAATTGACAGAGGGTGGAGCGCTTCAGCGCTCCAGGCCTCGGTGCTGTCAAGGAGGCTAAAATCAGAGCGTTGAGTGCGATGCTCCAACTTGGCGTCACTATCACACCCCGGGTTTGGAAGGCAGTGCCAACAATACGGGTCACGATGAGTGGATAGAAAGAAGTAAAATAAAAAGTCAATTTATTAATATAATTTCAAATAACCAATGTATCCAAATAACAATAGTTTTGATACAAACTAACATGAATATAAATAGAATAAAAGTAGAAAAGAAACTACTCAACCATCAAAATAAAAAATATAATAAATTACTACAAAATAGTAAATACAAAAAAAACAATCTACTATTGGTAACCGTGCTCTTGAGGTGGGAGTCCACAAAATATGCCTGAAGGATTTATTGCAAAAAGAGATAACATGTAAGTTTGATAAATCATATTCAGCAAGTAACTCCTATCTATAAAAGCATAAATGACAAAGAAATGGGGCATGTTGTATGAACAATCAAAATGTAAAAGTAACAATTTGAAGTCACCAAAACAAAGTAGTATTGACACATGCCGTGTTTCCTACAACATAATTCTAATATACTAATACCCTTAATGATTCACCGAACTACTATTAATACAAATTATTTTAATGTTTATAAGTGCAACCACACCAGGTATTATAATGCCTCAAAATGACATATCAATCATTTATTGTTTCCAATTCATGTTCACTTATATTTGTTTTATATTTATACATATAAATCTATTGTTGGGTTATCATATATCCATCATTGGGAAGGTAAACACCAACCTAAGAAAATTCAGTGATTTCCTGTAGAGTCGTTACTCTAGGGCCCGTTGACCCCGGCTAGCCAAAAACCAATAGGGTTCTACTGACATACATACAATCATACAATGCAAGCACTATTACAAATAATCAACATGTGTTATATAACTCAACATGACAATCATAATTTATATAACCAACATGATATATAAGTATCATATACTGCAAAACAAAACTGATATGATTTGCCAATCTAATATTTATTGCATCCAAACAAGAACATGCTTGAAAATTCAAATTGATATACATGAGGTTATACAACAATAAATCAAGAATATTTTATTTATGAAACTTGCTTATTCATTATGAGCAATAACGAATATTTATTATATGCGTGATCATGCTGAAGAATTTAGTATAGAATTGACTGTCTATATAATTATAAAAAAAACTAATACAATTGACATGGATTATGCCCCTAACAAAGAAGGGTACATTTACACCAAAATAAATAACAGTTATTTACCTCTAGGTGAGTGACACAAAGTTTCAAGCCTACAAGATAATCAACTGACAGCGATACGAGGCTAACGACTTGAAGGTCCTATAAGAAATAAAATTGTAATATAATGATAATAAAACTAAAGCTTAAAAAAATATAAGGTTAATTATTTTCAACTTAATGACCTCCACGCAAAGTTATTATTCAAGCCTAATTGATTTGGATTAAAAATCCCAAATAAATCAAATATAATAACACTAAGGAAAAATATAAAGCATATAAATTTCAACTAGTTTATCTAATTAAAATCTTACTCAATTCAATCTATCAAAATATAGAAGTTAATAATCATCATCACCAAATTCATCAGTTAATGGGAAAAATGATGAGGAGAAAATTTATAATAGAAGAAGAGGAGAAATATACTTCTTACAAATGAAGATTGCTAGTTAATGTCGGCGATTGAAGGAGATGGAAGGCTGAAAACTTCCTTTGACAGCGGTTATGAGAGGAAGAACCTAATGGCTGCAAGAGAGAGACGATAAGGAGGTTTGGTGGCTATTGTTTGAGAGAAAGGAACAAAGAGGAAGAACAAGGGAGAGGTTCAACGGCTATTACAGAAGAGGGGGAGCAAATTTGATGCCCTAAGTTTCCTTTGTTCATCTTAAATGCCAAGGTGGCCAAGGTAGAAGGATCAATCCGACAGGAATTTAATCACGTGATATACGTGATTTGTGCATGATGGAGGTGCAGTTCAACTTGCTCAATTCGGCACACGTTGTTGGGAGAAACGTGGGCTAGAGGCACAAGAATTGGAGACTGCTACGAGCGGTCTATTGTGACCAGTGTGAAGGTAGAAGCGGCTCTGCAAGAAAGTCTTGGACCGAACCAGTCTAGGCTTGATTTATCACAGCCGCAGGGCTGCAAGGTGTTCTGGACAATTTTCTTTATTGTTTTCATTAAGGATTGCTCCCTTGATAGTTTCCTTTTGAATATCTTTGTTTGTTCTTGGGTGAGAACTGTGTCAGAGAAAAAAGAGATAAGCAGAGAGTGAGAGAGAAGAGAGATCTTTACTAATTCTCTCATATTTTTATAGTATATTTCTTGATGTGGTGTGAATCCGTGGTTTTTCCCGGTTTCAGGATTTTTTTTTTACGTTAAATCCTGGTGTTTTTTTTTTTTTTCCGCTGAATTTTATCTTTCTTAGTTGTGTTTGTTACGTGTTTTACTTCTCCCAACATGGAGTCGAACTTGCTAAGGAATTCATAATTAGTTGATTGGGTCGAACTTTGTGAGAGGTGGATCTTGATAGAGCTCGATGCACCATTCTAGTGTCTATTATTAAAATAATATGCGACTTTTATTTATACTACCATTAAAAAGAGTGATATTTGAACAATTATAAATGAGAATCACGTCCTTTCATTTTAGATTATAATATATATATATATATATATATATATATTATATTTCTTATTTTACGATAAAAATAAATTAAATTATCTATCCTTTAGCTAATCTTTTATTGTAACACATAAATAATATTTCATTTCATCTTTCTTAGCTGTATTTCAACCACTTTGTTAAAAAGAAAATTTTATTCTTATATAATTATTAAGCAGTCAAATGGTTATATATTTTGCGCAACTTTTTTATCCATTTCACAACAACGCATAAATTTTTTAGATCTTTCAGACAAAATCTATATAGCATATATGTCCATGTAATATGCTAAATGTAGCAAAAAAAAAAAAAAAAAGTAATTTACAATTTTAATTACATGTTTTGGCATTCCCATTTGATAAATTTTCTAGATATTCATAGATTCCTAGAAGCCTTAACGTTATTTATTTTCATGTATTTTAGTACCAAGTGTTTTTTCCACGTCACATGACTACTTAACAAGGCATAATGTTGAAAGAATATGAATGATTTGATAAATTTATCAACTTAATAATTACAAAATAAGAAAATTAATGCTACTTTTGCCCTTTATATTCAAGTATTCTTAACTTGAGTATTTTATCTGTTGAACTATTTCTCATAAATGATTAATGGTCATGATATGGACTACTTTTCTTCCTTACAATAGTGTGTTTTCATATTTGTCCAACTAATAATGAAACAGCATAGAAATGTGCAATTTATTGAAATTGGCATATTAAGAACTCATTAAGAAGGGGCAACTATGAAGAGGTAGTGGAGTGAATTGCGACCAAGGATGCATAAACTCCATCCTTAATATTGAGAAGGGCATCGTGTTTGCCTTGTTCTACAATCATCCCATCTTTAATCACTGCAATAAGATCTGCACTTTTGATTGTAGTGAGTCGATGAGCAACAACAACTGTGGTTCGATTAACCATTATTTGCTCTAATGCTGTTTGAACGATTCGTTCAGATTCTGAATCCAACGCACTTGTTGCCTCATCCAGGAGCAAAACCTTGGGCTGTTTCACTATGGCTCTTGCGATTGCCAACCTTTGTTTTTGTCCGCCTGATATTTGGATGCCTCGCTCACCCACTATTGTTTCATATCCCTTCAATGATTTTATCAATATTAGAAATTGAGAATCATAATGATGGAAACCGGGAGCATTTGATCGAACAGCACAACATTAGCTTTATCATGGCTGAACTGTATCATATGCAACTTAAAACTAAGAATTTAGCCCATATTAATACTTCATAAAAGCATTGAAAAGTTAAACTTTGTTAAACCTGAACCGGTAATAATTTTGAAAAGGTAGCCTAGTTGATCTGGTTCATTTGGCCTAGTGGCCATGGTCTCCTAAGATGCTTATGCTTATCCTAAAGAATGTCATCGAGGATGGAAAGTGTTCAAAGACAGTAGCTGCAATGTTTATATGAAAAAGGACACATGCAGCATAGAGCTGGGGGTTCATTGTTGATATGTTGTTTTCAGATTTATTATTTTTTAATTTAAACTGCACACTTGCTTTTAAAAAATATGATTTATAGTATCAATGATTTTTCAAAGAAACTTAGTCTCATTAGTTGTGCATAGTCCAAGGCTGTTATTTGTTGTAGATATAAAATTTGAGCATTTTTGTTTTGTACAGTAATAAAGAGCCAACAATAACAGCAAGTTTTTATCCCACTATGCGGGGTCGTTTACATGAATACTTTTTCTTCATTGTGTCATGTTAAGAGTCAAATTCTCATTTAAATCTATTAAAACAAGTGTCTAAGAAGATTTGTTATAAAAATTGTTTTAGATGTAAAAATTATGATAGTTGAGAAAGCTATAAAGAGGCTCGTAAGGAATCTAAGAAAGCTATTTGTAATGCAAAGAGCTTAACTTTCAATGATTTATATTATAGATTAGATACTAAGGAGGAAGAAAGATATATGCATAAATTAGCCAAACAAAGAGATAGGAGTAGTAAGGATTTATTTCAAGTGAAATGTATTAATGATAAAGATCAAAAAGTACTTTTCTTAGAAGATGATATTCAACAAAGGTTGGTGAGATATTTTGCTAAACTTTTTAATAAAGAATGTGAAAATACGATTGACTTTAGTGACTTTATCACCCTAAATGACAATAAAGATTTTTGTTTTTATCGGTGTATAAGTAAAATCGAAGTTAGAGAGTCTTTGAAGAAAATGAAGTGTGAAAAGCTGGTAGACCTAATGATATTCTAATAGAGATGTAGAAATGCTTTGGAGATGAAGGAATTTTTTGGCTTACTAAACTTTTTAATACTGTTTTAAAGACTAAAAAGATGCCAGATAAGTTGAGAATGAGTGTTAAAATTTCTATTTTTAAGAATAAAGGTGATGCATAGGAGTGTACGAATTATAGAGGAATTAAGTTAATGTGTCATACTTTAAAACTATGAGAGTAGGTTATGGAGCATAGGTTGCGGCGTAATATTAATGTTTCTCAAAATCAATTTGGATTCATGCCTAGCCCAGTATTACGGTTAAAGAAAAAAAATGGCAGCTGGAGGTTGTTCCGGTATTACTGGTTAAGAAAAAAGATGGCATCTGGAGGTTTTGTGTGGACTACAGAGCGTAAATAAAGATATTATGTCAGACAAGTTACCTATACTAATGATTGATGAGTTGTTGGATGAGCTAAGTGGGGCAGGTAATCTTCACTAAGATAAATCTAAAGCAGGAATCATCATATCAGAATGAAGAAGGAAGATGTGCCAAAGGATTTGCTTTTAAGAACTCATGAGAGGCATTATGAGTTCCTAGTGATGCCTTTTGGCCTTACTAATGAGTCAGCCACATTTCAGTCATTCATGAACAAGGTCTTATACCTTATATCAGGCGATTTGTCTTAGTGTCTTTAACAATATCCTAGTTTACACAGGTCAGAGGAGAAGCACTAGGAGCACTAGAGGCGGGTGTTATAGGTGTTACAGGAGCATCACTGAGGGTCAACCTAAAGAAAATGTTGTTTTGCCAGGCCTAGTGTGGAGTATTTGGGCCATATTGTGTCCAGGAGGGGTAGCAGTAGACTGGTCAAAATTGAGGCAATGTTTGAGATGGCCAGTACATAAGAATCTGAAGGAGCTGAGAGGATTCTTAGGATTGAAAAGATACTACAGGAGGTTCGTGAAAGATACATCACCATAGCCTGGCCACTAACAGAATAGTTGAAGGAGGGTTTCCTATGGGGGGAGGCAGCCATAAGTAGCTTCGAGAGCTTGAAGAAGGATATGATGATTTGTACCAGTATTAGCACTACCGGACTTCACTTAGATGTTCATAGTAGAGAATATGCCGTAGGATGTGGATTGGGGGCAATGCTCATGCAAATCATCACTCGTTGCCTATTTCAGTCAGGATGTTGACAGCTAGGGCTAAGCTGAATATTAGTTTACTGAGGCGGAAGTTGATGGCCATATGTATTAGCCATCCAGAAGTGGCGGCCCAACCTATTAGGTAAGGCATTTCATTGTCTAACGAACCAGCCGGAGCTTGAAGTACTTATTGGAGCAACGGATGGTGACAGAGGAGCATCAGAGGTGACTTTTCAAGTCGCTGGGAATGTGTTTGAAATCCAATTCAATCACTCATGAACAAAGGTCTTGGGAATTCATTATTAACATTGATGTCTGGTTACAAGTTACAACATCAGATCATCTTTTTCATGTTAGGTTTGCTCAACTATTCCCTTGCAAGTTGTATTTGTATGATGCTTCTTGACAGCTAAACTCTTAATGACTTTAATGGTCACATTAATACTACTGTTACACATGAGTTAAAAGAAATTGTTTGTAGCATATTCTCGGGTTTGCCTCCAAAAGGAGCTTATGAAATTAAAACAAATATTCTTGCTAATGGTTTTCATTTGCATTTGATCTAAAGAATAGAAGATATTAGTTTATGATTATTATACCAATAACAAGCAAGTTATGGTATCAACATTAATTTCTATTTTGATATTCATTCCAGGCTTTTTTACGCCATAGCTGTGGCAACTCTTGAAATTGCTCAGTCAAGCTCTAATAGGCCTGATTCCAACAAAGCTAAACTTGTCATGGTTCTATTTTTGCAATTCTTGATCGTTCAATCTCGAATAGATCCAAGTGATGAATCTGGCATTGATTTTAAATATGATCGAGGGAAATATCGAGTTCCGCCATGTTAGTTTCAAGTATCCTCAAGGCCAAATGTTCAAATTTTTCGAGATATATGCTTGCCATTCAATCTGGAAAGGTAATATCGATACACCAGTTAAAACATTTTCAATTATGATGACAAAGGATAATAACCCTAACCACCATTTTACTTTTTAGACTATTGCAGTTTGTAGGGGGAGAGTGGAAGTGGAAATCGACAGCAATAGCACTACTACAAAGGTTTTATGATCCTGATTCAGGACATATTCTCTTGGATGGAATAGAGCTGCAAAAGTTCCAATTAAGTTGGTTGAGGAAAACAGATGGGATTGGTGAGTCAGAACCTATGTTGTTATATAACACCATTCCGCTTCAACATTGCGTATGGGAAGAAGATAGGCCAGCGAGGCTGAGATTATAGTTGCTGCTGAGTTGGCAAATGCCCACAACTTCATATCAATGTTTAAATCAGGTTTGACAACTGTACATTATTATTATAAAGTAATTCTATAAAGCTCCATGTTGATCATTTTAATGAATACATTTTTTCCCTCGTGTCTTCATAAAACATATGTTAAAGAAACGATTTTACAAAACAAACTCACTAACTTTTCTCTCGCAATCTATTTATATATGATAAACATGAGCATACAAAAATGACATAAATTTAAAAGGTCACGAGAAGAATCAGCGTGAACATTGTCCTTAGGGAAAAAAAAATAACACCTTGACCAACATCCTATCCCTAAAAGTTGGATACATCAATCACTAACAATGACAACAAAAGGTCAAATTTGAAAAAGGAGACCGAAAGTAAAAAACTAAAGAAGGATCAGTTCCCACAACAACAAATTTGTCAGAAAAAACAAATAATAAATTGACTAGTTCCCCTTGTTGTTAGTCAAACTAGCATATGAGGCTCTAAATATAAATTTTTGTTATTAGATGGTCACCATATTTTTATAAAACAATTATAGATTATGTGGCTCTTTATTTTAGATTTGTCTTATGTTAAGAAAGGTAGAGGTGCGAACCTAAAAAGACTTCAACAACAACAACAACATCAAACCTTTGTCCCATTATGTGGGGGTCGACTACATGAATCCTTTTTCGTCATTGTGTCTGGTTAAAAGTTAAATTCTCATTTAAATCTATAAAGAAATATAATTTATAATATTTTCTAACCAAGTCTTTTTAGGTCTACCTCTACCTTTCCTTACATAAGTCGAATCTAATACCTCAACTTTTCTTATCGAGTCATCAAAAGGCGCTGCGTTTAATGTGACCAAACCATCTAAGGCGACTCTCTCTTTAATCTTATCTTCCACTAGTGCTACTCCAACCTTTTCACGTGATATGCTCATTTCATATCCTATCTCTAGGGCAAGCCACTCATCCACCTAAAGCATCCTTATCTCTGCAAACATCTAACTTAATATTATGCTTCTCTTCTGCATACATATCTTTAGTGATTTGATATTAAGCGTGAACTCTCCATAGCACTTCTCTTGAACTTTAAATATGCTTTCTCTAAATCAATAAATATCATATGTAAATCCTCCTTATTCTCTCTATGTATTTCTCCCATCATACCTCTCAATAAATGTATGACTTCCATAGTAGGCCTTACCCGGA